TGTAAATTGCTGCCATTAAACTGGTGACCGAAGCGTCGGCGTTAGACGCCTGGGAGTCCATTTACATTAGCCTTTAGCTTGTGTATTCTACCGTCTCTATCGCCGACATTCCCAATAGCATGGTCAGTAACCAGCCATCTTTCTTGCTCTTTCGTTGAATAAAAACGAAGACTCGTGCCTGCATGGGCCACGCAATCTCTGCAACTCTCAAAACACTTGTGTGGTTTCCCCCCTTTCGTCCCACTCACTACTCAGTCTGATCCCTCAGTCCATCGTATCGTGCCCCGAGAATATAGCTAAGTTGGTCCGTCCTTGCTGCAATGCAGGACTTTCCCTACCCCAACCTCCCCACCACATCCAGCATGCGTCCCCTCGACATCCACTCGGACAAATGGCTTGCAAAGTATCTGGCCTCTGCCAACGGCTGCGATGATTTGATCGTCATAGCCCACAAAACCTCGCCGCCAACTTGGATCAGCTCCAGCAGCTCCTTCTGCGCCACACGCTTCTCGGAGTATCTAACCAAGGCACGACGATTGGTAAGTCAGATCTTACTGTGAAAGGGCTTTCTGTCCTCACATTGTTAACAGTGTTTCATTTCGGTGCCGTAACTCATCTCTCATAGACCATGTTGATCAACTCATCTACCTTCGTTAAGAGCCAGCGTCTGGGAGTCGTCGTTGATTCTCTTGGTCCATGAAATCGGGTAAGAGCCATCCGCTCCACTGGTAGCTTGGAATCCTCCAGGGATTTGATCACCGCCGAACCGCCTTCACCCAATCTTTCCAGGTCCCAACTCGGCAAACACCGCATTGTAAACTGAAGCAAACACTCCTTAAACGGAGTCCAAAATTTTGTAGCTCATAACCATGTCGAAGGTGGTGGTCTGTCGTTAAACTGATTAGACTCGTCGCTCGAGCGGAGTATAACGCATGTCTTCACATTGTGAGCAACGTAAAACGAGACGCTGTCTAGCATTATATCCGGACCTTAAAGTAATCCATCTCTTTGGTAAGCCGTCACTCCGGTACCAAGACCGTGCGGAACTTAGCGGTTTTGTTGTTGGTTGCTATTCCGGCTTCTCCTTTATGTATTCCTGTTTGTCCAGTGGTTCAACTCAAAATAACCTTATGTACTCCAGATGGACTAAAATGATAACAACAGAATGCACAATTGTTTAAATCAATCATCAATCATTACAAGCTAATCTGTAGGTGAGAAAACACACCTCGGCCAACTGTGCCGCATAACAAAAAGATAAGTTTGTGAAGAGCGAGATGCTAAACATTGCAGAATGTAAAATTTAAAGAGCGTAATATAATGCCAAATGTCGTATTATACATGCCGCGTGAGTTCGTGATCGGAATGAGAAGATAAGCCGGATGGGGATGGACAAAGAAACACAACACAAGCGCCGTTAAGATCGGCTCTTAACCTAAATCAACTAGTGTATCCAAAAACCGTGCTTATCGTCTTTGGGACCCCAAGCTGGCTGTCGGGAGACATTAACCGATGCCAACTTCCTAGTGAGGGCATTCATTCATCTTGACCAAATCATCGCTTGGCCTCTTCTCTTCGTCCATTCAAACCGCTCGCGCAACTAACGCACGATGAGGAAGCCGGTCCGCTGGCATGCACAACACACGAACAAACCATCGGAACCCGGTGCGTGATATAATGGCGCTGAACGAGTCACCAAATACACGACGTCGAACATGCTTGTTGCTCAATGTGTAAATAGAAAAACAACAATGGAAAGAAGTGCACATATATCACTCCAGTAACCGGTCCCCTCATCATAAAGTAACCAACACACCTTGCTGCAGAGAATCGTCGGCACATGACAGAGTCTAAATCCAACTTCACAGGATACACGACGTTTTCTCACTTTACCAGAACCTTTATTAATACTTCATTCGAATGATTTGAACAATTTTGTGGCCAAGATGAATAAATGACGAATTATGCGCAGTATGTCGAGGTTTTTACACGGAATCGACGGTGCGGTAACTTTAGGAATAGTTCACCCAAAGAGCTCCCTAAAAATATTCATACGGAACAGATAAATGAATGCACTGTGGATGAGGTAAAAACGATGTTTCAGTGAATACAGCAGCGGTTGATTTGATTCCTCCTCGCGCATTGATCCGTTCGCACACTTGATATCTCCCACTTTTCCATCCTGCGTCTTCAGATTCTACACTTTCACTTGGAGTCATTCATTGTATCGGGTGATTACGCCGCTTTTATCTGTGAACTGAATCGTTATTTCCCCGCTCATGATTCGGTGAGTGTGATAATTCGTTGTATGTACTTTTCTATATCCACTGATTGCCGCTCCTCTGTGACTGAGACACAATCGACGAATAGGAGCACTTTTGGGCCATTTGGCATGTTTCAACAGCTTCTCTAGTGAGGTTGTCTCATTTTCGCTTCAGCTAATCAACTGTCCTCAAACCGGATGCATCAATCACTTAAGTATTGTGTATGACCAAAGCGCCCATTCATTCTTCTAAATATGGTCGCTGCAGCCACTTTTAGCGGAGCATTGGCTCACAAAGAATCATCACACGAACGATAGACGCCAGATCCGTTCACCTTCAATTTTTCCCCAGCGATTGCCGTCTTCCACTGTCACTCTGTGAATGGAGCTCAGGAAAATGACAATACGCCTAACGTATTTGTTTCAGCGACGGTCCCATTGATCAAGCTGACTGGGATTCACCACAAAGTCAGACGTGATCCAAATCGAGACTGTGTGTCGCAGTCCACTCACGCAACGAGTACTACGAATTGACTTCCGCTTAGTCATTAGCCGTTACGACAATCGCTGTCTGCTTCGATTCAGTGGCTTGAGGACAGAGCATTTGACTGACACCTCAAAGCTCCCGGGTTCAGGTCGCAGTCTTGTTCTGTCAACTTGATGGACACGAACTTGTACTATACTGGTCATGTAATACTGCAATATCTGTGATTTATCTGACATCTCTCTTTAATCAGACTTGGACTGTTGAAATCATCCCATACGACTAGGAATTAGCGGATGTTGTACTTGTTTACAAAAATGAAAGCCTGACGGTTTGCTCCAACCATCGTGGCATCAGTCTCATTTGTGTCGCATCCAAACTGCTCGCTACGCTACTCTTGCAGAGGCTCGGTTGCGTACGAGAACAGCACCTACGTGGACAGTAAGATGGATTTCGCCTGGGTCGCAGCTGCGTCGATCACATCTTTACGATCCGCCAGATACTTGAACACCGCCATACGTTCATTCGACCAACCATTTTCATATTCTTGGACGTTCGAGCCGCGTTCAACTCTGTTGACAGAGTGCCTCTTTGGAACTGGTTACTGAAGTGGGGTACCTGAGAAGTACATCAGCATTTACCATAAAATCGGGTCGCGTGAGGTTACACAAACACTTTTTGCCCCTTTTCAGTATCACTTACGGTGTTAGACAGGGTTGCCCAGCCTCCATTTTTGTGCACCTTCGGCGAGATCCTGGATACTGCCCTGGAAAACTCATGTGTTTGGCACTCTGCCCATTTTAATGCACTTGGTAAAGTTTTGAATTTTATATATATATATATATATATATATATATATATATATATATATGCTGAGAATCATCAATTCGACATAGAGCATACCAGTATACTCGGCAAGCACGTGAGTTCATTGGAGCCTGGCATTCAAAGCTGAACTCGATCAATAAGCACTTGGACATTGAAGTCGCTTACGAGGCACTGCAAACCAGGCCCCTGATACCGCACTGATGATGTTGCCTAGTCAGGCAACGAAACGTCAGCACAATAATCACTTAGCTCGGAGAACCGCTCAAAATCCGCGGAAGATGGATGCTTAAATATTCTTAGGTTATATATACATATTCATACGTGCAGTCGAGACAGAACCGTTCTTTACAGTTAGCTTTAGTTACTCTTTACGTTCCCAAGTGGAAGTCGAACTTCTGAAGGATTGGAGCAATCTATTCCATATCAGTAGATATTTAAGCGTAATGGAGCTGCATGGAAGTCGCGTGCGATATCGGGCTATTTTTATTACCTACTCCTCAGATTATATAGCGAAGGCTCTTGGAATTTCGGTTCGTAAAAATGTGCATGCCTTTGCCGATGAATAATTTTATAGAAACAAACGGATTTAATTTTAATCTTCGAAGCCACAATGACTCGGGATTTAGCAGGTCTTTGTAAGATAGATCAGATGTGCGACTCACAAGTCTTTTTCTAAAGCACATCTGAGTTGCTTTAACTTCAGTTTGTCCCATTTTCTTGTGTTGCTGACAACGAGTGCGCAGTATTCTAGATAGGTCGGGCACCCATTGTCGTAAATAAGCGGCTCAACATTCCAACTGCTCTCGTATTTTAGCCACAATATGCCTAATTTGTTCTTTAAAATTGAGCGTACTGGAGTAATACAGACCCAAATCACAGATAGAATCATTCATGGGAAGTGGGAGATTATGTTGAGTAAGCTTTCCTAATGGAACACATACTACTACACTTAGTCGTCGAAAAGCTCATTACCGAACTGGAGCACCACTCTCACAGACAGACCAATAATAAACTCAGTGCTTTATGGTTCCGCAGTATATACAATGTTTATGTCATCGGCAAACAGAAAATGTCTACCATGCTTGATTCAAGCCAATTCAAAATATGTTTTAGCATCCGACTGGGAACATTTTCAGCATTTTACCCTAGCACCAGAAACAGATCTTTTATGTATATCAGGGCCAGTGCTGCGCACCGGCGTTTCGCTGGCTCGCAATCACTACTAGTCGCACGTGAGCTTAGGATACTGCGAGGGTCGTCTGGTCATCTACGCAGGCTGGAACCCGCGCTCTTGTATTGCAACGCAGGCTTGTAATTCTTAAGGCTATGGCCCGGCTATATCAGGGAAGGAATCGACCCGAGTACGCTACCTTGTACTACACCACTAGTAATGTTCCTTATCCCTGATGAGTGATCGCTTACCTTGACTGGCTGCTTCTTGCCATTAAGGTATGAATTTATTCAAACCAACAGTGAGCCTGTTATACCACTGTTACGAAGCTTCTGAAAAACTAACTGGTGTGCGACCTTAATGCTTTGTTAATATCCAGGTGAACAACAATACAAGTCTTACCTGAGTCTACCAAATGCGTTAAATTTTGGAAAAACTTGAGCTGACAGGTGGAACTTAACGTTTTTGGAGAAAAATCGCACCGAACTGCGGACAGTAGGTCGCTCAATGCTAAAAATTCAGTGATTTTTTATTATCAATGCTATTGGGAAATTAAGTTGTGTTTAATGGACCGATAGTTTCTAATGTTCTATCTAAACCCGATTTTGTGTCATGGCGTTACTATTGCCAGTTTTCATTGCTTAGGATAGAGATCAGATTTCATTGATGCAGTAGATAAATTAAGTTACACGCTGTTACAAATGAGTCAACAGGCAGCAATTACCCAAACGCTAGAGACCCTTGCTATATACTACTTATTGGAAACCCGCCTGGAAGACTCTTGTTGTGTGCTCACTCTGTGATCCTATCTAGGGGACACTAGCAGTGCTTTCTCACTACGTATTTCCGGAGATGATGCAACTTCGAGTGCCAACCAACGGTGTATATATTTGAAAAGCGCAGTAAGAAGACGAAGACTGGCAAATGCACGCATTTCGTATTGTCTCATCAGTGCCTTTAACAATAACTCGCAATAATATTTATTCAGTGAAGGGTGCGACCAAACATACATACAAACAGACAAATAGACCAACACGTGATAAGTGAGACAGGGTTATCACCCCTATCCCCAAGGCAGTCTAATGCTGACCGATAATTGTTTCTGAACACAAAGCATCGGCTTAATCCGGTTAATTGCAATCGCCTCTGCGAAACGGAGGAGGCGAGAATTGGTGTGTTGTAATAGGATTGTGAACGCCGAATTGACCTCGACTCGGTGACCTGTGGTCAATAGGTGTCGGCCGATCGAAGAGGCTGGTGGCTTACGCAGACAAGCAGCTTGACTCTGGCCAGTTTCCTGCGCGGTCGAATGTTGAACCCACTTAGGTATATGCTCCTTCATTCGGGAACTCAATGTTCTATCGGTCCTGCCTATGTAACTGGCGCCGCAGTCACAAATGAATTGGTAAACGCAATGCGATTTGGCCCCGATAGACTGAGCCTCCTTTACAGAAGGAAGTGGCAGTTTTTGGGTTTTGTTAATGACAACGACCTTTGCGGCATAGTAAGTTGTCTGCATGGCACAGATCAGACGCCTTGTGGTCCTCAACGAGGAGACGTCACCTTTGAACGGCAGTTCAATGATTACAGGCTTCTTAGGTACCGTGTGAACTAGGTCCCTTGGTCGTACTTGACTATGTTTCTCGATGAACCTTCGGGGGTAGCCGTTTTCGATGAGCGTGTTGGTAATCAACTGCAGTTCGTCAGCCAGGCAATCAGCAGAGCAGATTCGTCTGGCACGGCTAATCAGGGTTCTCACGAGCGTCCGCTTGTATCGCATTGGTGTGAAGCTAGTGAAATGCAGATACTGCCCGGACCATGTTGGTTTCCTGTAGACAGACCTCTTAATCTGCCCGTTTTCTCTGCGGCTGATAAGGATATCTAAGTACGGAAGGCAATTTTGCTTCTCTATCTCACAGGTGACCCGCAAGTTATAATGTGCAGAATTTAATTGCGTTACCAACTGCTGCATCTGATGCTCCGATGAGCAAATTGCCAAAATATCATCCACGTAGCGTTTGTAGTATGGAAGTCGAGATATTTCTCCAGACATACCTCGCTCTACCATTAACATAAAGAAATCAGCAAGTACTGGGCCCAATGGACTGCCCATCGCTACTCCATCAATCTGACAGTACGGTATGTTTCTGAAGTGAAAATTGACGTTCTCCGTACACAACAACAAAGAGTCTCTTAGTAACTCAACTGGCATCGGTAGGGGACACCGCGAACTTTCTGCTAGTTCACAAATGTAATCAACAGTTTGGTGCAGGGGAACATTGGTAAAAAGCGATTCCACATCTAAAGAGCACATGACCTTGTCGGATATATTAAGTGTGTCGAGGTCGTCGATAAGCTCGAAAGAATCTTTGAGGCTGTATAGATTGGCCCACTCTCGCAGCGGAGAAAGCAATTTCACCAGCCAGCGAGCCAGTTTATGTTGAGGCGCGTTTACCATCGATAGAATCGGTCTGAGTGGCACCCCACTCTTATGTACTTTCGGTAGCCCGTATAGCTGAGGAGTAGTGGAGCCGGTCGGCT